GATCTACCATCTTCGAGGTTAGACACCACCGAGTGGTGCTCCTGTGGCTAGTGCGCACCGTTTTCTACGGTACGGAGAATGTATGCTGCAGAGGGGCCCTCGAGAGCACTGGAGCTTGTGTACAGCCAGTCACAGAAAATGAAGCCGTGAGGGAGTTGCGGCAGAAGCTGAAGGAATCTGAACGATGCATTGTTCACCCCTCATTTCATAAAATAGCTTTAGATCGAGAGGTAACTCTAACGTTAGTTGTGGGTTCTTGCGTCAATTTCCACTATATATAGTTCGGTCACGTGCTGGGCATCATGCTAGAGCAGATGAGGTTGGAGAAGAAGGAGCACAAGCGGCATGTGGAAGATGAAAATAAGTAAGTTATCATCTAGAGAATGAATCAGTCTTCCCCAATCTGCCTGTTTAGATGCTTGCGTTATTACGCCTATCGTTCCTTCGTCTTCTGGTGCTATGGGCGTCTTGGTTTGGGTAGGAGGTTTGAAATCCCCGCATGTGTAAGAGGCGCCATAGTCAAGGAATTTCCTTCCAAATGTGGGAGCTATGTTGGCTTCAATGTAAGCTAGCCGCTTAATAGCTTATTCTAGTATCGCCACACAAATACAAACTATTATAGGGACCCCGCAATAACGGAAGCATTGACTGTGACGATGAATAATGCCGTGATACTTTTGTGTAAATAAATATTTCTAAGAACTGTGCTCACCTCTACAGCTCACACTCGTAACGATCGTCAGCGGCCATGAGGTCCGCGATCATCTCGCTTGAGTCATAATGCTTTCCTTGCAAGGCTATGAGGCGGTTCCTGAGAACTTCATCCAAAACTAAGTCCCTCCACAAATGTTTGGCTGAAGATTTTTCTTCCAGCTTAGATTTTCTCGAAAGGTATTTCCGCTGGATCTCTCGTGTCTTCAGCACTCTTCTTTGTACGGTATGTTCCGCTAGCCGCAATGTGTTGATGTGCATTGTGGCCATCATAGCATATAACGGACAAGTCGCATTTGGGTAGAATATTTCCTTACGGCAGTAAATTCTATCCAATGCGTTCTTCTCCCCACATATGGAGGTTCCTCCATAGGGACTAGCCCGAGGCAAATCTCTTTGAAACGACTTAGTTAGGATGACCTTCCGGGCCTCCTCATGAGCCTTGCTCCCGGCAACCAAGACTCCCGGTCGCGATTCCCCCAAAGGCCCATGACCGCAGCTGGTGTAGGGACCCGTCAAGTCATCCTGAAAATAGCTAATGAAGCGGGAAATTTCTGCGAGAAGTGGAATAATGAATTTATTTACCAATGGCCACTCATGAACATCCTTAATGTGCATGAGGCATGTGTTAAAAATGGCCCGGACGTCTGCATTAGGGTCGG